ATTTTGACCCGGGGATCTACATTTGCGCATTTTTTCCCCCTCGTGAGCAGTTTTCATGCCTCCGCCCATTAGACATAATAATTAGGTAATAAAAGGTTTATCAATAACAGTAGCTGAAAAACACTGTGGGTTTAAAGACAGTCATAAATATTATGGATAAAAAACCATGGAAAAAAGGAACCACGGGGTCTGAACAGCAGTACTGCTTCTGGTTATTGCTTTCAAACCCTTTTGCCAAAAGCTGCTTTTTTGAAAATTAGTTTGTAAAAAAATTTTTTTTTCAAACTTTTCTCACGATAGAAAGTTTTTTGCAACATTTCAGAATCTAATAGCCGGAGCTCTGTTTGACGTTTTGTTTGGTTTTCTTCTGGTATGCACCCTCACAACAGTTGGTTCAACACTATGTTATCTTCTTTCCGAGTTTTTCGCCCGTGAATACGTTTTTTATTATGTCGGCCAACGTATCACCTACTTACAGCGGAAGGTAAAAAAAATCTGTAGTTTCAGTGGGACATATTCTGCAATTACGCACATGCGTTTACGTATGAACGGCTTGAAGCACTAAATGCATGAAACACCAGTCACAGGAAATGATTAATTTGTTCAGCTGCAGTTGGATTCGGGCATCCTGGTACACACATGCCCGCTGTCCAGTGAGAACAGCCATAACTCTTTGATTTTCTATATGCTCAAAATGAGAAAGCTACTGAACACTATGACGTTGCTCCGTGGCAACAAAATAAACGCTGGGAACTGTGGGTTGGTATGTAAAAACCGCTTTTGGAAGATTTGCTTACGCAGCAGGTCTTCGCACAGGAAGGAGCTCCACCTAAGGAAATGGCTTTTTGTAGAAAAATTTGAAATTTTGATATTGCAGAATGTAATTCGCGCTGATTGCTAGCTTATCCATCCTTTATTCTCAAAACTGAGAAGAATGAATCTAACTCTGCCTGCAGCACCTACGTTTACAATTACCCCCATTATGACAGCAAAATTTTAAAACTTAGCTAACAAGACTCCCTGTAGCTAAAACTTAGCTACAGGGAAGTCTGGAATTTTGATATTGCAGGTGGATGATAATTCGCATAGATTATTAGCTTACCTGCTATTCATACGTTTATTTCCTATCTTACCGAGTTGGTTACTCAATATTGTTGCACCATTTCTCAATATTCCTCTTTTCATATTTGCTTTATCCGCTTTCATCGGTTAGCGAATGACTGTTCAAGATTTCTTTGGATATTGTGAACTTCAATGTGTTTTAGCATGAATCAAAAAACACAATACGAAGATACCATACTGTGTGTATGCATGCGTATGTATGT